CAACGATGCCCCGATCGTTGCGTCCTCTGCAGGCTTATCTCCTTCTCTTTTGAATATTGCCTCGCCTTTGGCGTCTGCGAGTACATGGACGAGCTCGGCGTCACCGCTAAGCTCGGTGAGTCCCCGTCCGAGCGGCTCACCGCCGTTGAGCTCCCGTGAAGCCCATCTACTACGACTGTTCATTCAAAAGATTGCACCATGGGTAAGTCTCTTCAAAGAAGACATATCTATCAGTCTAATACTGTTTTTAGGCCGACATATGCGATCTTCGCTCCCATTTCAGTACTGAAGTCCCTCGTCGAGCCTTGCAAGTCCCGATGGTGTTGAAAGCTGTGCTGTGCCTCGCAGCCCGACATGATGCGATCATGTCCAACGCCAGCGACTGGGAGGCCTCTGAATATCACGGACAGTGTCTAGAGCTTCTCATTTCTGCTCTAGCGTTGCCAGAAGAGACATATGATGATAACCTGCTTATCACTGTGGTCACCCTGCGGATATATGAAGAGCTCGAGCGTGCAACAGATGAAAAGTGTCACTGGGTTGGGTCAAACAGGCTCTTAAATACTATGTCCAAGTCCGCTTCTTCTGGCGGTCTCGCCGAAGCAGTCAGTTGGCAATTCCTTCGCCAGGCAATCTATGCTTCCCTGGTGCAACATCAACCGATGCAACTGGATCTAGCCAACTACGAGCTCTCGTCCGTGTTCCAGTGCCGCGATGACGCTTCATATGCCAACGTTATTATCTTTTTGTGTGCGAAGATCATCCAGTCCTGCTGGGGATCACACTGCAGCTTTGTCGATGAGGGCGAGTGGCAGCACCTATCTGAAAGCGTGGAACAGTGGCATCGTGGGCGGCCAATCAGCTGGCAGCCGTTGCAATACAAGGATTCAGATCCAGCGGAAAATCGACCGTTCCCTGAGTTATGGATGATGTCACCACCAGCAGGTATGTATTAGCACCTGACGTGTAGCCGTCGCTGACCATATAGTCGTCGGTCTACAATACTACCATGCATCGTGTATCCTTCTTACCTCGTCCCACCGGCACTGGAATATATCAAGCGATTACGAGCTGGCGCGGCTGCGACGAACAGAAGAGGTATGATCAGTCAGAGGTGACAATATGTCCATTCTAACTGGCTACAGAGGACCATAGCATCCCATCTGGTTCAGACGATAGGACTTTCCATGTCAAACGAGACTGTGGAGAATGCAAACTTTATGGCGTGTCACTTGTTACATCGATGTGAGTTTACAGATGCCAGTCACACATGACGTGTGCTAATAAGAGTTAGATGGATACTGCCTCCGCCACCCCTCTGAGAAACAAGGGTCCTTGCAGTTTCTCCGCCGGGTAGAAAAGGCGGTTGGGTGGCGAACGAACTGGATGATCCGGGAGCTTGAGGCTCAATGGGGAGAATTAGCCGAGATGGATCGATGGGATTGATGTCCACATATATCATACATGGTATGGAGTGGAGTGTGGAGTATGGAGTATTAAGGTTGTCTAGGCAGGGGCCCAAACTGAAATCGCATGTCTGGTTAAGAATAAATATATCTTACAAATCATGGAGTCATGAAGTCAATATTCAGCCTTAATATCTCAGTTATCCACCGAATTCGTGTTTATAAGTGATTGGTCGGAGAACAGCCGCCGTCGGCAGGAGAGATGATCAACCGGCAAGTCACTAACTGAGTAGCCTGCAGGGCCTTCCAATGAGTTCTGCTTTAAATGTTACTACTGGCCCATTGTTTTTGCTTGGTGGCAAAGACTTTTGGGAAGCTGATATATAAACGGATGCTTCTTGAAGGTCTACAGTCAATTTTAGAGCAAAGGACAGGAATCATGCATACTGCGAGGCCATTTATCTATCTAATCATGCAACGCTCCCTTAATATGACCCGCAATCAAATCTATAAACTGCCGTGCCTGCCATAGATCTACCTCTCATCAGCACACACACACACACCCTGAACAGAAACAGGGGGGCGAGGAAGGGGAAGATAAACAAAACTCACCTTTATCCATATGCATAAACGGATGAGGAACGCCCTCAAACCGTCTCACGGTAACCTCACACCCACCCTCGACCAACTTCCTTGCATAGGCCTCACCCTCATCACGCAGCGGATCACACCCCGCCGTGTAGATAACCGTGCGCGCCAAGCCAGTAAAATCCGGCGCCTCCAGCGCATTAGCATACCACTTCACCTCAGCCAATTGCTTCTGACGTGTATCTTCATCCTCGCTGCTGAGACTGCGCCACTTCAGCTGATCAAACCACTTTAAGCGCGCCCAGTTCAGGGTCGGCGCGTGCTCCATCTCCTGCATTGAGGGGAAGGGCGAGTCGTGCGCTGTGGTATACCGGGAGATGTCGTCAATCACGGGTGTCCCTACCGCTACTAGACGGAGCGGGATTTGGTGGTCGCGGGCTAGGTGTGCGAGGATGAGGGCGATGTTGCCTCCTGCGGAGACGCCACCGAGGGATATCCGCGTGGTATCGAGGCTTGGGAATTGTGTGCGGCCGGCCGGAGAGGATAGGTGTTGGAGTGCTGCAAATGAATCTTGGATGCCGATGGGGAAGGCGTGCTCGGGTACTAGACGGTAGGCGATGTCGACTACGGCGACTTTGGCCTTCACGGCGATGTGCTGGCAGATGTGCGATTCGGTGTCTAGGTCGCCGAGGCCCCAGCCTACATCGCAGTTCTTGATTAGCTTTAGTTTACGAAAGATGTGGACGGGGAGGAGGGGGGGACGGACCACCACCGTGAAAGTCAATGTGGACGGGCCACGGTCCTGGGCTGTCGGGTTCGTAGACTCGGCAGGGGATTAAATCCCCATTGTGGCCTGGGATAGTGGCATCGTATACACGAGCGGGCTCCGGTGCTGGACCAGTGCCGTAGGAGTAAAGAACGGAATATTTGGATCGAAGGACGGCGAGATCAATTGGCCCGCTGGGGGTGTTGGCTACATGCTTATTATAGAGTTCGATGAAGGTAGGGTCGAGATGCGGCAGCACGGACGGGTGAATAGGGTTAAGGGCTTCGTGCGACATGGTGGTATATGATAATTGGTGTCCTTGTGCTCTTGTCGGTAGTTGGTTGGATTGGTTTTCGCGAGGCTTATCTTATTTATATACTAATAGATAGGCGACGCCCCGTCGCATGTCGCCTCCTCGGCTATTGATATGCATCTGCAGCCATCCCCGCAGTTGCAGCTTATCTATGCGACGGTCCGACGACGCTAGCATCAGCCACTGGTACGTACTATCCGATCAACCGACGGATAAGCCACTTGACCAGCAGGATATATTACAAGCCAGATAGACTAAATTATGCGAAAATTATTTTCAAGCGAGGAAATGCCGGTCAGATAGATCCTCAATTATATCCCAGAATCATCGCCGCCATGGAACCCGTTCTCATTGTAGGTGCCGGCATTGTCGGACTGACTCTCGGTCAAGCTCTTCAGAAGGTAATGAATATGATCCGTATAAGCTGTTCGCAATGTCAGCAGTAATATATGAATGCTAAATAGACACATCTAGGCCAACATCCCCTTCCGCATTTACGAGCGTGATGCGTCGCCGGATGCTCGCGGCCAAGGCTGGGCCATTACTTTGCATTGGGCCCTAGAGTATATTCAACAGATGTTGCCCGAGGACACATTACAAGCTATCCAGGAGGTACAGGTGGACCCCCAAGTGGCCAAGAACGACAATGGGAATTTCCTTTTCATTGACCTTGCGACTGGCGAGCCCAAGTTCAAGATCCCCCCTAGTACCCGCTGGCGGGTCAATCGGGAGAAGATGCGCCAAGCCTTGCTTCGGGGAATCGAAGACCATGTTACTTGGAATTCTCAAGTGGTTGACGTGGACGTGAAAAGTGACTCTACTGCTGCTCCATGTTTGGTCCTGGCAGATGGCACCCGCGTGTCAGGAAGATTCGTTATCGGCGTCGAAGGAAGTCGATCGTTGGTGAGACGAGTCCTGCGACCCGATGCATACAGCAACTCTGTACTCCCAATCAGATTCACCGGGGTAGCAGTAGATTTGTCCCCTCAGGAAATCAAGCCGCTGCGATCAATGGATCCCTTGCTATTCCAAGGTTGTCATCCCAGCACGGGCGTGTTCTTCTGGTTCTCGATGCTGGAGACTCCAGACAGAAATGGCACTCGGGGAACCCCCGACGAGCATTATCGGGCCCAGATATGTATGTCTTGGCCAGTGAAAAGTGAGGAAGATGAAGTGGCTGCCACCGATGCTGAGCGGTTGGATAATATGAAGCGACGCTCAGTGGGATTCGTCCCGTTTCTGCGATCGGTTGTGGAAGGCATCCCGAAAGGAACCCCGGTAGTGGAGATTAAACTCGCAGATTGGGAGTGTTTGGATTGGGACAACTGCGATGGTCGAGTCACCCTGGCTGGGGATGCAGCCCACGCTATGACAATGTGTAAGTTTTCTGTTGCGACTTTCGGGTGTATGTTGTTCTGACTCGAGCAGATCGGGGAGAAGCTGCGAATCATGGACTGTTAGACGCCTTTAATCTCTTTCAGGCGTTGAAGAAGGTGTACTCGGGCGAGGAAGGGGCCAAGGATGCGTTGGATGAGTATGAGGCAGAAATGCGGTCGCGCACTAGACGCGCTGTCCGGCTGAGTCGACAAGCTTGCCACGACGCCCACGCTTGGGAACAGCTGAATGAACACTCGGCCATCTTGACTAAAAGGGCTGTCACGGGCGAGGCTGAGCGTTTATAGTGCATTGAATGAGATGCTGTTTATCATGACTAGATGCAAGTGACAAAATTGGGTAAATGACACTTTATTATTCTCATAGTTCTCGTTACGTCGAACATATCAGCTAAGATTGGAAAAAGGCCTTCGTCCATGCCTTCGGATATATCTTCCCTACAGCTACACGCTGTGATATATCCCAAATAGTTCCATTAGTATTGTGCCATACGACTATAATACCATGAACCGTCAAGAACCCATCTACTGGATTAACATCCCCCAGTGGCACTTGACCCAACACACACCTCCCCAGTGCAATTCCACCCAACGGCACCATCCACATTTCCACACAAATACTCATCTGCAAGAGTCGTATTTCCCGCGATACGCAAACTCACGTTCTCAATAGCGATATCTTCGCATGGCGCAACAGCACTACACTGGAAACTTGCAACCTCCGCTGAATCGACCGTACCTGAAATATCGGTGAAGACAAGGTCGCGGATCTGAAACTTGGAATTGGTGCAGTTCCCTGAGGCGCCAGAGAAGGTTGTACACTGGGAGATTGTGAACGGAGCGCCTTTGAGGTTGTTGGTTTTCAAGTTGGTTGCGACGATGTCGGAGGCATCTGTTGTCATGTTAGGGTTTAGATCATCACAGGCGTTGAATATCGATAGGTGAGACGTACATCCTAACCCCCCGCCCCCTCCATTAGGCGGATATCCGACCTGGTCTCCTGTCCAAGTCTTGAAGTATACGGCATGAGTTGTCTTGTCGTATGTGATGTTCGAGATTCTGAGACCATTGACAGTCTCAAAGGCACCGTTGTATTGACCAATGCTTCCTATGGCAATGCCGAGACCGCTGGTGAATGTCGAATTGGCGATCGTGATGTCGGTGGAGTTGGCTTTCGTGCTGATACTGTCATCGCCGTTGACAACTTCCCAGTTGGTGAATGTGATGTTGTTGCTATAGATGGTGTTTGCGCCATCCGTGTTTTCTATTCAGATTAGGTTAGAGGTTTGGATTGTGTCCCGGTTCATTATAAGGTATGGTACTAACGCGCTGAATCACCGTCATCGTACAAATTGTTCACGTAGATGGAGTCGAACACTGAGTCCGAGGTATAGATGATAGACATTGTCCTGGCATCCTGTTTCAGCTTAAAGACTGGTAAAATGTCGGTTCACAATATCATCGATCAGTACGTACCACATCTGACTCTGCACGAATCGCAACCCCTTGAACACTGCTCCCGTTGCTCCCGAAACCGTCAACTGGTTGGGTCTCCTAGGGTAATTCGATGTCGATCCAACATACTTATACCAGGTGGGTCCACTTCCGTTGAAGGTTCCATATCCATGTCCTTCGAAGACGATGTCTTTCCCGCCCAGGATCCAGGCAGTGGATTGGTTTTGGTAACCGACAGGGAGGGAGTGGTTCAGCCAGTAGGATATGTTAGTGCTCCACTGTCCAGTGTCAGCAGGATGGAAGAGGCCGGGGTTACATAATTGATTCACTTACCAAGAGTGTACCTTGCAGGTCAATCTCAACATCATCTAGCCATGTTGTGTTCATGACAGAATTGATATAGTAGGTGTGATTGGTGAATGTCACCCGGCCACCGGAACCACACGTTGTCAGTGCATCGAGGATAGCAGGCACGTCATCTATTTCTGAGGAACCACCTGGTTTGACTTCACATTGGGTTCTTGCATTTCCATTCTTCGCTTGGTCCGATAGCGCGATGGACGGGATGATGAGAGAGGCGAGAAAGAGAACTTTCAATACTATAAGCGCCATGACGGGATTGCTCAGTGTAGAAGCTGTCTTCAAGAATTGACCTTGCATAAACCACAAATGTAACTGAATGACAAGCAGGTAAATATACAAGGCTGCAGGACTGGACCCTGACATGCAACCCCTCAATTCCCGGGGTAGGTTTACCCCGACGTGCACGAAGCCCAGATGTGATAGGTGCGAATCAAGGAGTAATTTTCCATGATCTACAGTTACCAGGGGTATGAGCCTATCATTATACTCGAATATATAATGCGCTTGCATCATGCAGGGCTTTTAATTGTCTTCGTTAGCTGTCATCCATACCAACAAGGTTCTTCAATGAAGCGACCGCGCGTACTAGTACTTATAATATCTCCACCTCGTGTCGAGGCTTGGAAAGGCACCCTTGGCTCTGTATACCACCCATCATTTCACCTGTACACTCTAGATATCATTATATTTCTTCATATACTCTCTACGAACAACGATATTGATGATGCAATATTCACCTATCAATCGCCATCGTCCACCATCCAGCTAGCGGCTAAATCATTAAGACCACTCCACTTCTCGCCCCGGTCGAGCCAATCTCGTTGCTTTGCTCGACGCTAACGTGCGTTTCCATGATACTGGCAGATTAAGGCCAACGACAATATAAAATCGACCCTCAGCCCCGCCTTTTATGCTAGGTTCTGTATCCCCTCGTTTTGCTTGGCCTTTCTGAGTGGATATGCGCGACGTCGGAAACATCAAAGCACCAGCGATGTCCACCATGTCGGAAGAGAAACTCCCCACATACTATATCGGCCACGGTGGGAGGCTCTCGTTGTAATAGCATAAAAGCAGTTTGCTGACTACCACCAGGCGGAGTTAGCATCCTCTTCAAACCCGGCTATGGGCCCGTTCAACAAAATCTCCGCGAGATCGGCAAGGAAATCAAGGCACTGAAACCGGAAGCAATCGTCGTCACTTGCGGCCATTTTCAAGGCGAAAGTGATGCTATTGAAGGTAAATGGGTTTGAAAGCAGGATTCACCACTTGAGCAAAAAAACCTAAAACCATTGTGCTGCAGTGAATCTCAAAGAGCCTACCAAGGTGTGGCATGACTTGGGTCCTTCCTGGCACACGACATTCCCACACGTTTTCGAGTATCAATACGAGCATAAGTCGTCTCGAGCCCTAGGAGAGAAGGTATTGCAGCATCTCCTCGATCAAGGGATTAAAGCGGCGGGAGTGGAACGCGATCTTGACCATGGAATGTGAGTTCCTTCACTGCTTGCCAGGACATTCTCTGGATCTACCTAGACAAGTGCCCTAATCATAATAACCAGATGGGTGCCCTTCAAACTCATGTTCCCTGAAGGAGAGGACGACCTGGATATCCCCGTCCTGCAGATTTCTACCTACGCAGGAAACGACCTGAATGCACACGTCCGGCTAGGCGAAGCACTTTCGTCATTGTATGTTTTCCACAGTCGTGCATCGACAATGGTTGGACTGGAAAGCCAGTAAATGGACACAAAGCTAATTCACTTACCAGACCCGGTCGCATTCTCCTCATTGGGTCAGGCATGATCGTTCACAACCTTCGAGCAACCCGCGAAGGAACAACCGACACAACAGTGGCTAGATCAATAGAACAAGCGGCTCTGAAAGCCTTGTCTGCCCCGACTCCCAGAGAGAGAAACGCGCAATTTCTAGCATTTCAAAAGCGTGAGGATTGGTTGGACGCTCACCCTACTGAGGAACATGTTTTACCGTTATATATGACTCTGGGCGTCGGGCGCGATTGGTCGGAATATAAGGTGTGGAATCAGGACCAGTATATTATAGGGCAGTCGTACCTGTCGTTTCGTCTTGGAAAGCTACCTTCAACGAGTGAGGGTTTGAGTGGGCGTCTGTGATGGCCAATAGTGTAAGAGATAGACATCGATTCACTAGCAAGTTGGCATAGCATATCCTGGCTTTATGAGACAATAACACATTACATATCATGCATGAGACAAAAGAATTGAATGCTCGGATTAGAGCTACATTATCTTCTACAACACCTGTAGGATCTCCACCATCAATCACAGCTTCAACAAACGCAATAAAGCCTTCAGCTTTTCATTCGGACCGAGGTTAGCCTCAACTCGCTCCAGCGTTTCCATCATTGCATCAAACAGCTGCATTGCACTATCTCGAGCATATGCGAGACTACCAGCCTTTCTCATCTCAGCGACAATATAGCTCTTCATTTCTGACGATAGCTCTTTGCCATTCTCTCGATGAAACAATAACCCTCGTATCATGTCCGCCACAGAGCTGTTTTGCAAGGCATGAATCAGCGGGAAGGAAAGCTTGCCCTCCGAGAGGTCTTCACAGTAGCCTTTGGTTTCGGTATACTACTCCATGTCAATATCCTCTTCAATCAATATCCGTTCCTAGGCACATACCTCATCTGACGTCAGATTCATGTAGTCATCTCGGATTTGGTAGTATCTCCCCATCAGTGTTATGAGATGCATAAGATCAGGGCACGGCTCCGTCTTCGACTCAATCTCCATAACGCGTAATGCCATTCTGAAGAGCCCGCCGGTTTTATTATCGACCATATTAAGGTAGTGGCTGGTTGTTGGGCATTTCTTCTGAAACTTCCAATGAAGATCGAGAGCTTGTCCGAGGGCTAGCGTCTCCAGTTCGTCTGTAGAGGTTAGAAACGGGTTGGAAGAGTGGCTGGGTGGTTACGGACCGAGAAAGGCTGTTTTGCACGCATCTTGTTGCAGCTGGTCCAGATCCCGGCTCGCTCTCGCGTATAGGTAGGTTGCGCTGTTGATAGTCTGGGACTTGCCAAATACGAGATGCGCAGCTGGTTTCCCGCGGCGGAGCATTGAGTCATCCTCGATGTCGTCGATCCTAGTTGGTCTGAGTGTATGCTATGGACGGTTATTGAGGGGAGTACAAACATGAGAGTGGATTGGAAGATCATATCTGTGACGTGTTCTATGATAGTGGCTGAAGTGTCTGGCAATTCGAACCAAGTCCGCAGACATTCGATGAACTTTGACATCATCTTCTTTCCGGGCGTTGCTCTCGTGTATTCGTACGGAGCCATGCAGAGCTACTGCTGTCAGTAGTTTGTCAGAGGCAGGCACAAAGACGTTCTTACCTGCTCTGCCGGTGCTTTCTTGAAGGGTGCTAGGATGTCCCTTTGATCACCCGCTAAGAGAATCGTAACATTCTTTCTGGGTGTATCGGAAGATTTCTGACTTGAAGCTGGTGGAGGATAGCCATGAAGTTTGTAGTGTATCTTATTGCGACCTGTAAGCTGTGCTCTGTCTTCTGCGGTTGTTTTCAGCTTCAGTCCATGATATCTTGGTGAGATGGCCTGTGCATAACACGCCCCTCCAACACTTGTGACCCAGAGAGCCATGTAGGCTCGCAGGTCAGTTGCCTTTGAGCCCGGAGAGGCTTTCCAATCATCGTAATCAATAAGAAACTGTCGCTCAAGAAATAGTATCACACTCTTTAGGATGTCGCTCGCTTCTTCTTCCGTGTAACCATAGTTGGCCATCAGGACAGCCATGGCATTGGATATAACCTCAAGGCTGTCACTTGTAGCATGCTTGTCAAAGTCTACATGAAAACTTTCATAATCACTAGCTAGCCCGGTAATCAAGCTACCAAGCTTAATGAGTGATGCCACTGAGGCCTGTTCATCCTCACTGATATGTAAGCGGTGAAAGATAGGAATAACCAAACTAGCGAACCTTTACCACGTCAGCGCTATGCTAATTTCCCACGCAGTATCGAGCACTTACTTTCCAGCACTATTTTGACTTCTCTGCTCTTTGTACGCATCAAATGACATTCGGTCTAGAGAGGGTTTCATCGGAGTCTCCAGCATTGCTGACAATTCTTTCAAAAAATCCCTCTGCTCGTGTTCAAGACGCCCACGCTGCGAAAGTATCCCTGTAAGTGCGTCATAATACAGATCGTTGATTTCGTACCCGCTTCCATTTCCAATTCCAGACGGGGTTCCTCCATAGGATCTAGTCAGAATTTGGTGGGCAAGATGAACAATTTTTTGGTGCTGACGCAGGTCAATAAACACATCGGTATAGACCCGGATTGTCGTAGACTAGAGAGTGGAGACAGACATAACACACCTCTGCAGCGTCAAATTTGTCTATTTCGTCTGTATTCTCCCCATCACGTTAACTCACTCACTTCTCAGATACCAGGCCACGTGAAGTGTGCTTACTGTTCCACAACGCGGCAATGGTAGCGAATTCAAACAGAGGACCCCGTTCGATTGGCGCACATTCCGGGTATACATGTAAGAAACTAGAGAGGGTTTTATTGTCCAGAATGGGAACAGTCGACTCCTTGCCTAAAGCTCGGCTCCAGTCATCCTTTATCCGGTCGATGACGCCGCTGTCAACAGGTGAAGATGATACGCGACTAGGGATGATATGGAAATAACCTTCCGGCAGCTCACTAGCCTCGATGGGCCGCGAGTGGTGGAAGGAATAATCATTAAAGACCGACATGATGATTTGTGGCTGGAGACGTTGCAGATTATGAAAACGAAGTGTCTGGAAGTTGGGGGTAGCCTTAATGCAGGTAAATAAGCGGTGACGCGTCCGAGCGTTTCCCCTCCCCATTGAAAAAGTGTGAAAGTGATGAGATCCCTGCATGCTGCATGCTTGATTCGATTCAGCCAATGGACACTCCAACTCCCACATACACAGTATATGACCAGCATGCATCTCAGGTCACGTATCTCATCGATAATTGCTCGCCTGTCTTTTTCTGCAGAGAAACTAAGATCATTTAGGCCAGCTTATCTGCAGACTCACTCCACGACAAACGGTATGCATTTGTAATTCAAGTAGGACTCTACTCTACGATTTCTCATCAGGATGTATTTGCTACGCTGTCTAGCTCTCCAAAGACAACTCTTATGGCGAATGTGCCCTGGGGGCCTTAAAATTGGGAGAACCCTAACTCCTGGGTGGGCTACACCAACTAAATATCAACGTAGTTATATATCGCTGCAACCATGTTAATCAAGATACAACAGGAAAGATCTGCAATTCGACCTAGATGATACTAACAGGTCATTCCATCCAATGCTTGTTATGTCTTGTGAGGCTCGCCTTTGTGGAACTGTACTTGCGATCGCCGCGACACCACGCCACTCCAGATCTAAAAACTATAGAATGGCTACACTTAAGGGCGCTCAGGTACTCCACATTGTCCCTATTGGCTACTATGCATTCTTCTCATGGGCGGACACAGAAAAGATGCGGACATCCTCGTCTCACTTGGGCCCGATGGGACCCGAAAACGCTAATCCCGAATTGTTCAGCCGGCAATGTAACTCGCCCGTGTTGGCAATTGAACAAGTCCCTTCCCTCATCTACGCCGAGCTGCTTATGCTTCTGCATCACTAGCCGCTATTATCCACGGAGATTTTAGGCACAGTACATACCATTGGCTCATATTATTCAATCACCGTCTCTGACTATAAATGATCCTTGGCTTGCAGAATTACGAAGAACTAGTTTGACTAGAGCGAGAAACTAATGCAGAAATCGTGTCCGCATTATGTTGCCCGTATGTTAGGGATACGTCTGCTGTATTAAAGAGTAGTGCTCACCCCTGCCAGATGAACAGTAAAGTCCATATTATTAGAAATCCTGCTACTCCGTAAACATGGTGCTAACCGCTATTACCCAGTCGTTCCAATCTTATGCTCTTCGCATGGTACAAGACACCCTGCGGCGAATTTCAGCCCCAGTGAAATTGACCGACCATGTTGGTGAAGAGGAGGAAGTTCTGTATGATGACCCGACGATCGCGGATTCTGACAAAGCAATTGTCCGCGTTAAAGATGTGAACTTTTGGAAGAGGGCATTTTTAGATTTCGATCTGGTAAGCATTTGGCGAATTTTCACCGAAATTGGTTATAAGCAACTAATACCTCGAAAGGGATTTGCAGAGTCCTACATGTTCCAAGAGATAGAATGTGATAACTTGTCCAAGATTTTCGACGTAAGCCGTCTCTTACTGACAGAAACAACACCGCAGAACATGTCATACTAAAACATCAGTCAACCAGCTATACATCAAAAACCGCGCCACGCTCGACTCGGGAGGCTCACCGTTTCACCTCATCATCCGCCTGGCCCAATGGTGGCGACCGAAAAACAACATCGAGAATGCGCGCAGCAACATCGTCTCCCACTACGACACCTCGAACGGACTATTCACGAACTTTCTATCTCCAGACTTGAACTACTCCTGCGCACATTTCACTAGCAATGCAGCAGAAACCCTTCAAACAGCCCAGCGGAGAAAAGTCCACTACATGATCAAAAAGGCGCGGCTTCAATCAACTCACCACTTACTGGACATTGGCTGCGGCTGGGGAGATCTGATCATCGAAGCAGCACGACTCACTGGCTGCAAAGCGACGGGAATAACTCTTTCTGAGGAACAGAAGAGTCTTGCCGATGAGCGCATCCGCGAGGCAGGCCTGCAGGACCGAATTCGCGTTTTACTGTGCGACTATCGCAATGCGCCCCGACCTGAGAGTAGATACTATGACCGTGTTATCTCGATCGGGATGTTCGAGCATGTAGGTGCTGAGTATATGGATCAGTATTTTGAAGTAATCTCGCAGTTGTTGCCGCCTGAGGATGGTGTGTTGGTTATTGATGGGATAACGAAGATACAACCAGTATGCTATTACCCCGTCTTGACTGCGTCACTCAGATTGAAATAAATATCTTATATCTGGCAGTTCCACGAAACCAACCCCCGAATGGGCGAATACATCGACCGCTACGTCTTCCCAGGCGGATACCTCCCCACCCCGAATATTCTTTTCGATTCTCTACACCGCGGTAGCAAAGGATCATTGGAAGTCACTTCGGTGCTCAGTTCGGGCCCTCATTATGGGAAGACTTTACAAGGATGGAGGGACAACTTCCTGGCAAACTGGGAAGATATCCGATCAGACTTTTGCAGTCGGCATCCTGAGGCTTCGGCAAAGGATGTTGAGGCTTATCGACGACGCTGGCTGGTGAGTTTCTCCGAATAATAGTTCGAAAATATCACGGGTTGCTGATGACTTAGTATTACTTCGAGTACTGCGAAGCCGGGTTTCGTAATCGCATCTTGGGAAATTATACCATCTGCGCAGTTCGAGCCCCTGAGCCGGTTGTCGGGTATGAGGATCTGAATATTGCAGATGCTTAGGGGTGTTCATACTATTTCGAGTCTAAGTTTGTGGCTGTGATTCCATGGTTCTATATTCCGTTGGATGTTGGTCGGATAAGTAGGCTTTATAGTGTGGTCGGGATCGGGAAACTTCGGCTAAGCTTTTGGCCCCTGCCATGGTAGCACCAGCAAATTACCCGACGTTATATACTTCCAGAATCTGCTAACTTGCGAAGCGTGTACCATTCCTCACTTCCTGACTCGACAGCCTGTAGTATACGGTTCCCAACGTCAATATCAAACCCCGAATCCCTACTTGTTCTTCTCTATGAAGGCTTCGAAGGTCTCTGCTGTTGACTACCGCCCTCGAGGTTGGTGCAGATGACTACAAACTTAGCGGGTTCTCGAATTTTATCCTTGAAGTTGCAGACACGGATCTGTCCGAGTATACTTTTTAGATATCTTTGTCATATGATATGTTCTAGGGGATCCGCTGTCGCATTGCCGGAGGGCTGAGGCGAGCTGGGGGCTGATGTGAGGAGAGTATCAGTTGCAACGAGGGAAGAAGGGAGCTGCATTTTTAATGACAAATAGGGAGAATACAATTAGATGAGGTTCGAGTTCGAATGAGTGCTTATTCTCGTTGTTGCTGCTGTTGGTAATAATTCCGGTCACGGGGACGATACGCCCTTTAAATCCCATTCATGAGGTAAGCTGATTATCGGATCATATCTTCAGGACGCCCCGTCTGAACAAAGTCTCGAAATCTTGTATACAATACAGATGAAGAAGCATGATCAAAGAGTATTACACCCCCAAAGCAATTGACCGGGGCAAAAACTGGGGGATTATGTCCGTTCCTGATTATCAGAGCACTTTCCGGGCGGTCGAACCTTCAATTAGAAACAAGATATAAAAGAAAAGACCACCTGCACAAAGCGTGGCAAAATCAAGCACGGTCTGTCATCGTTCAGACACCATACGTACAAAGTAGCAGTACAGAATAACGATCAAGATAGGAACTCCACATGGTTGCGCTAATCACAGCTAGCCCTTAGATTGTTATCTCTGTGGTCTAGACTTCTAAATCCTGTGACGACGAGATCGTCGATCATTTAATGCACACCAATGATGCGACCGGGAATGAGGGAACGCACGACAAAAGTAATTCAATAGGAAGTAGATCACCAAGTATCCAAAAATAGGGCGCAGTTCAAGAGGCAATCTTGACTGTCAGGTGGTCGTGGCAAGTCGCTTACCGATAAAACACCGAATCATATCATCGGGCTTATCTGATTATCGATCCTGAACCGTAGTCGCTACGATTCAAAAAGCCATTTCTGTAGTCGGTCGGAGACCACTGCATCGGAATGGACCCACGGAACAGAAATTCCTGGCTAGGAGACAATCAGGGGTGGAAGAGCTAGGTAGCTGTATGAACCTACCAAATAGAATTTCGGGCGGTGGTAAGCCCCGCAAAGAGCAGCTCAGACTACAAAGGTTCGAGTGGAGTTCTAGAATGTTTCTCCTTTGGGCAAGTACTGTGCGATCGATAGACTAGCTCTGATGGTGGCGGTATTCTCCGTGCATCCCGTCCCAATTTTGATAGCTCGCGGTGACGCAAGAGGCAACACCCGCAGCATGTAGTATAGGCGGATAGGCGGATGGTTTTTCAGTGGAATGTACCTTTTACGGGACTGCCCGACAAAGGAAATAGTGAGGAACCGGGTTAAACCAACAAGATGTCACAGACAGACGAAAGTGGACGATCATTGGTCTGGCAGTTCCTTCCGCAATGTTGTGGGCCTTGTGGGCCTGCGGGGGATTGGCTGGAAGTCGTTCCCAACTACTAGCGTCCCCGCCAGTGTGACCACTTGACCGTCAGAGGATTGAAGTATCAAGGCAGGCACACTCCCTTCTGCCGTCCTTTTATAAGCTTGAATGACTGTCCACCTTATTCTATCCATTATGTTTCACTTATCTTTTTTTTTTTTTCGAAAGTTGGGAGCTCCTAGGACGTCCATGATTACCCGGTAAATAAGGGCAGTAAAACATACAATCTATGACCTCGGAGAGAAAACAACGGATCTTGGCCCCTGCAGCCCCAGTTAAGGAACCCGTGCCACGAGCTTCGGCGAGAAAGGTTTCTACAGCTTGTTCAAATTGCCGCCTGAAAAAGGCGAGGGTTTGTTCTCACATTTTCTCATACTTTGCCTGTACTTGGACCGTTTACGAAGTTAACCCTGCATCTCTTCCAGTGCAGCGGAACAGCACCATGCGACTCCTGTGTCAAGCACGATCTCGAATGCAACATCGACGAGGCCACAGACTCCCGCCGCAAAATTAACCTTAAGCGGAAGATTGACAGCTTAGAAGGCGACCGCGATCTGTTCGTGCAGGTACTGGAGATATTACGAAATGGTGGCGTCACACGGGTGCATTCCCTATTGCAGTTGATTCGCAGCAATCCTTCGTTGGAAGAACTTCAACTCTATGTCGAGGACAAGATAAAAGATATCAGTGCCCTCGATTCGACAATAGATGAAAACTGCTTGTCAGATGAACCTGTCGTCAAAATCCCTCGGAGAGTGCTCAACATAAAGCGACTCGCCGATCAACCTGTCTTTCGTGTACCCGCAATACCCTGGACTAGAATAACCGATGATGATCACTTTGTCTCGCACCTTATATCCTTATATTTTACGTGGAGCTACCCTTGCTTTCCCTGCCTCGACCAAGACATATTCATACGCGACATGAAAAGAGCCAAGCTCAGTTCCCAGTTCTGCTCACCCTTCCTGGTTAACGCCATCCTGGCTGATGCCTGTGTAAGCTGCCGACCACTTCTCTCAGACGACTTCTTTTGATAGGTAATTCATTGACGTAATTATTCATTCAGGCATACTCAGACTTTGCAGAGGCGTACGAAGTCCCCAGCGATCCGTCTACGCGAGGATTACACTTTTACAACGAGGCGAAGAGATGTTTCGAACAAGAAGATGGGCATTCAACTTTAGCCACGGTACAAGGACTGGCAGTATTATCAACTTGGTACGACTTATTAATTCTTTCGTCTTCTATACGACTTCACAAAATGCTAATTATGAGGGTTAGTGCATGCTTGATGGGCAAAGACAGACGGGGATGGATATACCAGGGCCAGCTTGCTTTTGCTGCGAAGGAGCTTCAACGCACGCTTCGCACCGTATCCTCCAGTTCTTCTAAGGAGGCATCTGATATACGACGGGTTACCGATCTTACTCTTTGGGGTTTGTACAACTTGACAATGTATGTCAGACCAGTGATTCTGTGTAACCTAAAACTGACATTTACCAGCGCAACCGCCTTCACTTACCAAAAGCCGCCGTTGATCGAAAAGCCTAGCCGTCCATGTCCGTCTAGTTCTCATGACAATGACGGTCCGCTATGGCACCCTTATCCGCACGACGGCGATAGTCTCCCTGGGCATTACATGTGCTATTTCATTGGCTTATCTGAACTAACAGCAATCGTTGACGATTGGTGCACGTTCCTCTTCGACGGCTTTACGAATCCGACGCCTGATGAGGTTCAAGATATGGAATACAAAATCCGTAAACGTCTGGGGGTGTGGGAAAAGACCCTCAAGCCATGTCTCAGGATCGAAACTAGGCGTGTAACCCTCCCCCACGTATTATGTCTACAGTATGTCAAATCCATCTTTGACAGGATTATCGATTCCATTTAACGCTGAATCGCAGTATGTATTATCACGAAATCTGTATCACAATTACGGAGCTCGCCAAAACAGCAGCGCATGGCACACAAGATCAGCATTTGGGGCCGGAAGAAATGTCTCTTTCAGCTGCTCGCCAAATCGCCGGGTTGATGGAGATACACCGGTCTACCTGGGGCATAGATATATTTCCAGCAAGTCACATTCATTGGATTGCAGTGGCCATGTTCACTCTCTTGGGACAACTTGACATGCCAGCGAACCAAGAGGCGTTTATCAATCTTTGCGTGGCGGCAAAAGTAGCTTCTCGACGCTGGTCTCTTGCACGGGGCACATTACGGACTGTTCAAGTCACGGCGAAAAAGCTTGGGGTAAGGCTCCCGCCTGAGACAGATCCACTGTTCATAGATTTCGAAAAGCATATTTGGGGACCTAGGGGTCGCAATGGACTCAGCAGCCTGTATCCCAATTTTGCTGTTTTGACAGGAACATTACGAAACGAAGCCGTTGAAATGGACACGTTTTTAGAGAAAGAGGACGACTTGGAGACTTTCGGCCTTGCGGAAGATGATGAAATGGTATTGTAGGAGAGTAGCGAGACTTGATCAGGGCGAGCAGCATACCATCAGGGTTATGTATTATTTGCGAGATAAGAAAGTATTTAATATTAAAAAGACACCTTGAACAGAATGCTCTAAATGCAAAAATATCGATGGGCTTTCAAAATGCGTTAGCTGGGAGTCGAACCCAGGGCCCAACCTTTCGATCTTCGCTATCGCAGGAGATCATGGAAGGGTTGAATGTTACCGTTACACCACTAACGCATGGGGTGAACAATAAATAGCTCTCTTTGCTTCATAGACAACATGATGCCTTCCCGTCATATAGCACCTGTAGCCCATGTATGGTGAGGTGCAGCCGAGTAGGAGGAGGAGGGAGGTGAGGGAGAATGGTCAACGGTGGGTGGTTAGGGTTACGGAGTGGTTGGTGGGTTGAGGGGGATGATAGAAGAGGTTTAGATGGGAAGGGTGATGTGTTGATGATGTTGGGGTGGGATGGCCTGTGTTATAAGTTATTAGTAGTAATAGTAGTAGAAGTAGTAGTATTGTTCCCGGGGTGCTAAGTTAGTCGAATACTCCAATGTATACTAGTATCTTGAACGCTGGATGTCTTCTTGGGTGTCAATTACTGGCACATTCGGTCGCCATGCATTGATTTATTGACGTATCTTGATAGTGTTGGGCTCGTATGTCGCTGAGACTGAGTGGAAAGGTTGTTGTTTGTTTCTGGGGCGGAGCAAGCTGAACGACATGCTTGTAGTATAGCGTTTATCTATGAGAGAGTAAGATTTATTTACTAAGAGGTGGAGATAGGAGCAGAGGCGGGCAAAAGGACCAGAAGGGGGGGGGGGGGAATAATGACTTCCTGCAGTGAGGAAACAAAAACTATTACTGAAAAGTTATTTGGTAACAGGTATAAAAGTAGGTGGAAGAAAAAAGAAATGACAAGAGTGGGATTCGAACCCACGCCATCTTACGATGATCAGGAAGCTGTGAAGCTGGGTATTAAGGTGGACCTTAACCTGACGCCTTGGACCAACTCGGCCATCTTGCCGTGATTATATAAATCAGACTGTAAATTATGCATGATAAAGGAACTTTAGTTTTTAGCCGTCATGCAGATTAAATGTACACATAACTATCATCATGGCTTTCAGCTAGGAAAGATACTCGGATTAACTTACAATCTTTTGATATGTATATTCAGCAGCACAATTATGATGTTGTCTAGTAGTTGACTCAATCACAGCACTATGATCATGCCTGGTCTATTTGAAAATAACTGCTGGTTATAGTAGATATATATAACCGGTGTCAACTCTAGTTCGGTTTCATTATTATTCACACTCATCAAGCGTTCAAATTGAACACCATCAGATAGTAGCAATAGCATACAAAACAACAGGCGTATTACATATGAAAGTCAATAAATCCCCGACCACGGGTGAGGAATGTCAGTACTACAGCGTGGACTTCTTTGCTTCCCGGGATTCTAAACAACTACTAGCTGCAGAATTAGTAGAATAGTGTTTTGCAAAGCACATCCTCTATGATGCACCTGAGTAGCCTTGTCAAGGACACTTGTTGGTCTAGCGAACCCACTATATTTGTCTTGGACTCGGAAGTCTCCCTTATTGGGGGCTTTCCTCATGACATGGGCCACAGATGTGGACACACGAAGACGAATGAGAACTCTCCCTTCGAAACTACAGGCTCCAATCTGTGGATGAAGAACGATATTTGAAGGCGCCAAAAAGCGCACAGCTCTAGGAAGGTAGAATCATCCGCGGAAAGCGCTGACATGTTTGTGATCCGCCGGGTTAGCGTGGGAGATGCAGACATCGGTGGTTTCAGTACTACAGACTCCGAGCGAAGGAAGTCATGCACCAAGGCGATCAATGTAGTCACACTGTACTTCCAAGGGCTCACAACTTTAGGCTGGAAATACTGAAACCTTCTTGCCCCACATCCAGCAGGTACCGTTTGTCCGCACTCTACCGGGCAAGGTTGATATTGATGATGATACGAGCATTCTGTATGAATCATTGGAGTTGGCACCCAGAAAGGCTCCTGGCGAACAGATGATCAGGAAACAGAGGATGCACGCCGTCGGCGGGGATTATCCACTCGCTTGATCGAGCCATCTTGGACTGCGTGTTCCAGATGCCCAACTGCTACTAAAGATAGGTTTTGTCGACATACGATGCCGGAAAACCATCACTGAGTGTGAATGCGGTTATAAATAGGTGCTTGTGGCAAGTGAAATGGGAGGCCCTTACCAGAACAGTTGACTACAAGCTTCCGCAAAGGACGAAAGATCTACTTCTTCTTTTCATCTTCGACGAGATACGCCTACCATCGGCCAGGTTTTTTTTTAGCTTTCCGAGGTAAAGAAGTCACCTCAACGGTGGCGCTACGTACCGACATATAAGGTATGTCTTGTGCTTTTCTCCACGCATCTTCATCGAGGACTAGCTATCGATGCAGACAGCCATAATGATCGGATCACTGCCTTCTTTGCACCACAACTGGTTTATCACTACTGACCTTTGCAGTATTGTCAGTCAAAAGATCCGCAAGACCCAGTTGCAAGGCCATTGGCTTGAGCCGATCTGTTCCTCCATCCATACCCGACCTAGACCTACAATCCCCTTAGCCGAATTCTGAGTACCAATGACCCCATCCGCACCAGAGAGCTCCTCATGGCCGACTTTTCCTATGCCGTGCTGTCAACCTTGGCCGTTGGGAGTGGCGACGACCCCCTTTGCGGCAACTTGGGCTGCAGTCGTCGCGTTTCCCGGCATGCAGCAAGTAGCGCCACCTGCGAGACTGGTTGGTCTCTCGATGTCTGTCTCTGTAACGAGTCTTGCAAAGACGCAGGCCAAGCTCGTCACGACTTTGGAAGCGCTGGCTGAAGAATTACAGGCCCGCTCTTACCCAGGAAATTGGTGATCACGATTACCACATGCTCTGGATGGTCGTCCTGCTCCTTGCAGACCGGTACCTCGTACTTCAAGACAGCACGCTAGCCAACGTTCACCAGCAGTTCACATACCAATATAGCTTCGTTAGCGGCTGGGTTAGCATCCAGCTCCTCTGAAGCAACCGTGACTCACGGCCCCCATCCCAGCTTCAACACTGGTCAACTCTGGATGAAACGTATCTGCTACAAGCCTTCACCCTCCTGGTAACCCTCGATCATAATACCCTCTTCGACCTGATCTGCGCCCATGAAACAAGAGTTTCGAAAGAAAAAAAAAAAAAAGAAAAAAAAAAAAAAAAACAAAAAAGGGAAAAGAAAAAAGGAGAATTGTCTATAGTATGATGAGAAGGGCAGGTGGTTATCAATCATTCATTTACTGGGACTATATCTTCGCCTCGGCCCGCGTAGATCATCCCACACCAATCTCCGGGCGTCCAGCGCGGCAAGCAATACGGCCCAGCTGTGTTCTTGCGCATCACGTTTGCCAATCACTCTTGCGCGCCCAATGTAAGCACACATCCCACATCCCGCCCAACCTCGTGTCCCCGAATTGACCTGTCGCTCACTAATCCATCCTACCACGTAGGTGACGCACCAAGTCGACGACCGTGGCCGAATGGTGGTGACTGCGCTGGGGGATTTTGATACAGACAAAGAGTGCTGTACTCCTACTTTGACATGTCTGATTACGTTGATCCAAAGGCACGTCGAAATAAAACTCAGGCGTTGTTCATTTTCACGTGTACGTGCCCGAGGTGTTTGCAGGAGGGAAAGGTCCAGAATTGGTATGCGACCGATGCCATTGGGTAGAGAAATGCGCTCATGCAGGTGGGATGCGTTTTGTGAGACGTCGTTTTTGCGGGCTTAAATATGCCTTGCCTCTGATTTGTCCAGTGGCGGTACTCCGTGGAGGGGAATGTATGGCCCGTGCTTGTGCGGGATTTGAGACATCATGCTTCAGCTTAGCAGATTGCTCATTGTATCTTGTTGCCTCCAAGAGTATTGAACTAGTCGCAGCGAGAGATAAATCACGGAGAAGAGTTGTCAGCCAGTCCCTTGCGCAGTAATGTAAACTCGTGGGTGACACATGTTGTCAGGTGGAGTTCTGGAGGACATAAAATGGCTCGCTCCATCCCTCTTTCTGAGGTGTAGCCAGCTCATATCTAGTTTCTTGTGGTATACCTACCGCTGCAATGTCGTTCCCCCGCTGTGCCTTATCCTTCCTGGGGCAAACCACAGTTCGTAGATTCCTCAGCCAACAACAGCCCCTTTGTCAGCCAGTCCACCAAATACGACAGTATTCGCCCTCCATAGACTACCAGGTCTCCTCAACAAGATCGACCATTGCTCAAATCCTCAACCACATCGACTCCCAGCGAACTGCAGCACAGTACCTCTCCCACTTCACCACACCTCAGTCCCCTACACAGCAACCCTTCGCGGTCATCAAGGTCGGCGGCGCGATACTAGACACCCACCTTCATACCCTCGCATCAAGCCTCGCCTTCTTCAGTCGCATGGGCCTTTATCCCGTTATCGTGCATGGGGCCGGACCCCAACTCAACAAGATCCTCGAGGATGCAGGCGTGGAGCCACACTTCGAAGAGGGAATCCGCGTGACAGATGGCAAAACCCTAGCTCTTGCTCGGAGACTCTTCCTCGACGAGAACCTTAGATTGGTTCAAGCGCTCGAGGAAATCGGGGTTGAGGCGCGGCCGATCACAGCAGGTGTGTTCCAGGCTGAGCACCTCGATCAGAAGAGATATGGTCTTGTCGGACGGATAACGAAGGTGGAGATGGCGCCGATTGTTTCGGCGATGAAGGCGTCTTGCCTACCCATTCTTACGTCTATGGCCGAGACGAGGGATGGACAGGTGCTTAATGTGAATGCAGACCTTGCGGCTAGTGAGCTGGCAAGGACATTGAAGCCGAAGAAGGTGGTTTATCTTGCTGAGAAGGGGGGCTTAGTGCATGGGGTGACGGGGAAGAGGATTGAGAGGATTAATCTCAGCGAGGAGTTTGAGGACCTCATGGCACAGGAGTGGGTGAAGTATGGGACGAGGTTGAAGATTCGTGCTGTAGAGGAACTTTTGCGGGGGTTACCGGGTACGTCTAGTGTGTCGATTGTCCATCCCGTGGATTTGCAGCGGGAGGTTTTTGCGGCCTCTGGTGCAGGGACTTTGATTGAGCGCGGAACGAAGATTTATAGTACTACTTCTGCGGAGTATAGGGATGAGGAGAGGCTGGTACATGCTTTGGCACGGCAGGGAGCTGGGGCCGACGAGGTGAGGTTTTGTGTGAATGAGATGCGGAGGAATCGTCCGCTCAAGATGTATTTCAACGATCCGTCATCTCTGAGTCCGTTGGCCGTCGTCGCATTTGGCTCTGGTGGCGCACCGCATTTGATTACGTTCCCGAATGAGACTATGGGTGCGGGTGCTGTTGCTGATGATATGTTTGTTCGGATCACCAAAGACTTTCCCCAGCTGGTCTGGAATGTTCGTGATGATGATGACAGGCTTGAGTGGTTTTCGGCTCGCGCAACGGGGAGGTTTCAGCATGGAGGCTGGGTTATGCTTTGGTACGGGTTGAATCAACAGGAGGCCAGGCAGTTGATATTGGGGTTCCAGGATGGTTATGAGAGGGATGGGGTGGGGTTGGGAACGGCTGAAGTCCAGGGACTCGCTGCTCAGGCATGATGGTGTTCTCCATGACTGAGCATAGAACATAGGCTGATTTGCAGATACTTACTGCGGGTCATGTTAGTTGCTTCCTGCACTTGATAACAGCTTTGGAGGGGGTTTGATACCAAACTGGAAGATACCTGCATAGAAAGGTCCTCATAGTAGTCTGGGGCTACCATAAAATCTCTCAATACGAGCTAGCTAAACCAGCATCTTAACAGCCTTGACAATTCCTCCCTCAAGACCCAAAGCTGTGTGTGTGTAGGCGACAGCAAGATACCAAGCCAAGTGGAAGGCACGGAGCTGGTAAATTTCAAAATTTTGAAGAATGAAGGCTGGATTTCACCATCCATCGCTTGGGCGCCATGACCGGTTTTAAATCATATTGTTCTAAACATCTTTCGGTGTCCATCAGCCTTGCGTAGCCTTCAAATACAGACGATTTCCGGATGTTCCGTGTATCCATGATAGGCAAGGCTAGCTTCTTCTGTTCTCAATCTGACACGAAATGGTGGTTCCGAGTTAATAGTTGCTATCTATAGTGGTAAAAAGTCTCGGTAGCTATTATCCAGTCGATATTTGAAGATACCCGCTACGAAGTTCCCTCTATCATATGATTGAAAGGGAAGAAATTCTACGAGAAGCTTGATTCTGGTAAAGGCATTGCTGACGAAGGTACTTCTGAAGCGAAAATTTCTGCATAAGGGGATGCTAATGTACAAAAGTGTTGGCCAATATGTTGATACGCCTCCCCAGACATAAACACACCACACGCCTGCAAACAATCACTCTAAAGTGTCTGCCCCCGAGGCATACATCATCGTCCAATCCCTCGCAGCCATCTCGAACATTGCCCGATTATCCAAATACGTGCTCCCCGCGTCCTCATTCGCAAATCCATACACAACATTACCACCTTCTACCCCTATCCCGGGATCCCCCAACATAGCAGAAAGCGACAGCAGAACGGTCCGCACAGAAAGTGCCTGACTCCACTCATCTTGCAAAATATTCAAACAGACTTCTCCATATGGACCAATGTTCGGATGCCAGATCTTCGTCATGAACATGCATACCGGCGGTAGATCGGGATACAGTGGTGGGATGCGGATGTGGATATGGAAAATGCCTCCTTCGTAAAGGCTGCCGACTGGGCCGGCTATTGTGCCGATGATATCGAAGAGGTGGTCGGGGCTGACTGGGCGGAATGAGATGAAATCGCATTGTGGGGATGTTGGGCCGTCTTTGATTGCGGCGAGATATTCGGCCCGGATACGGCGGAGGGAGTAGCATGGGATGGGTGTAGTGAGGTAGCATAGGGCGGTGGTTATAGAAAGGTGGTTTTGGTGATGGATGATGTCCATTTTGGGGTGTTTTGTGGGCTTTCTGTTTGGTTGTATGGTTGGTTGATAGTTTGAGGTTTGATAGTCTGTGTGTCTTGAAGCTGCAGTTACTTTGGTTTATTGGGGTGATATTACTTAGGAGATATTTGATCATTTTGTGGTGATAATTGCCCACTTTTATAAAGATAGACTGAGGATGTAGCAGGGTATGCATGGCTGGTGTGAGTAATTTACTTCCACGTGGTAGGGAATTGTATTGCCACGGGCTTGCAGTGAATCATCTGTCGAGATCGAAGATTTCTTTGTTCTTTTATCCATTCACCTGCAGCATTCTCCCTTATTTATTCACTTCCAGTCTGTGAATTTAACTCACAGATACTGTAATCTCATGTTATTATATTATCTATATGAACACGCACCCATCAGTTATGCCAATTGCCTGTTTGATAATCTATCCCATCTGTGAAGGAAAGAGTTCCTTTCAAATATCAACATTGGAAAAGATTGAAGTCCCTTGAGAACTAGCCGCTCGACAATTCTCTTTAGGATGGGTAATTGCGCGTTGTGCTGATTACCATTCCTTGTGGCTACGGCGTAGGCCACCTGAAGAGGCAGGATTGTAGAAGCAGGACCGAAAAGTTTCATTTCCTCCTGGAGAAGATACTCCATGCTTTCGCAGATCTGCCTCATGAGTGTCTCTGAACTTATTTGGACACTTTCAATGTGTTGTTCCTTCAAGACCCTCAGGTATTCAAAGCTCGGCTGTGGGAGAGACGACGCAAGACGCTCCATCTCGCAGAGACAAATGATACGAAACGCCCAGATATAGGTGATTGCGTTGGCCATAGTGATACTAGGAAACCAGATACACGGGATTTTTTCTGGATCCTGATCCCGGTACCAGTAAAGGGGAGACGTCGCATTCTTAGATTCAGATGCCTCCCATTCGTTTAATCTGTCCAACAAGTCATCAAAGCAGTTCAATATGCGTGTACACTCGCATTGGTTTTGATTTGAAGCATCTGGACCAGACAAGTTATCCAATGTATGTAAAATCGTTGGAAGCGCAGCGGCCTGGCTGAGAAGGCTTTGCATTGGGGAGGGGCTAAGTATTGCAAACGGTGTCGTCTTCCAGTTATTCGACCCCAGAAAAGATGGAGTTCGGCATTGGATTGCGTTTATCATCTGAAGGACATTAGAAACACCCCGGACATTGGGATCTACTACTCACCAATAACGGGCGGAAGCCGATAAATAACCTGTGGGAAACTCCGGTTTGATAACGCTGGGGTCCATTTGCCTGAAGGATTTGTGCCACGGCATCTATATGCATTTTTAAACCTTCACTTGGCCCAGGAAACATAACCTAACTTTTCATAAGCAAAGCGCCCCCTAAAAGTAGATATCATGAAGCAGAACCGACCTCTGCCAAGCTGAGGCACATGATTGATGCCAGTAGCTCTCGATCTGATGACATGTTCGCCGTGCTGAGCTCTTTTCGCATCAATTTCAGTGCGTTCAGGTAGCTGTGCGTGCTGTCAACACCTGAGACACTGTCTGGGAAACCCCGGGACAAAATTGAGGTGGATAAAGCTTTTGAGGCAGCCAGAATGATATTAGAATCAGTGTTTTCGCTCAGACTGGGAAGAACTTCGACCCATGATCCACATATGCGAGGCCGTGGCTCATTAGAGATGATGCCAGGGAGATCTAACTCTTCGCTAGGCACATAGCTCCTTATGATGAAGTCAACCTGCTCGGCACGATGCAAGTTGTAGCCTGAACCTGAAGTTGGAAGCAAATGAGTTTCTTCCAATGGTCGACAAGCAATGTTCGATAAGGATGCTTCATGTTCTGCAGTGTCTCGGGGGCTGTGATCCTGATTCGATATGTTTGACGGTGATCTTCTACTCTGGGCAGGATTTGATTGGCTCTGTACGAAGGACCAGTTCACTGGGTACCCCGGACATTGGCGGCCTGTTAGTAGACACTGACTACACTCAGGTGACTTTCCGTCGCACTATGCATTGAATGAGCCTCTTTCTCCGGAGTAGAATGATGACCCACGTACACCAAGTTTCCTCGACCTGCAGTTTTGGCAAACGGACCTTTGCTTGACCCTCATGGCAATCTACGTCAGCAATAAACATTGATCCTAACTAAGCCATCCAAATCAATAGGGTGCAACTAGTCGGCTCAGCTTCCTCGTGAATGCAGGCTAGGCCGAAACTAATAGTGGGGACAGTATGCAGGTCGATGATGCTTGATGGAGGCGAATGCAACGCCTGAACACTCCATCCAACAATTGGGTGTCAAGGATGTGTCAGCTATTACATAAGTTGTGTTCAACATTCGGCACAAACGTTATGAAGGACAGTGGCTGGTAGATAGTATACAACGCATTTTCAATTGATCAAAAAATGGTAACTGAAATTTTGGCAAAATTTCTTATCGTTATGTGTGTATTTCTGATTATTATATAGACAAACAGGATCATAGGCTATTAAGTAGCCATGCAAACGTTTCTCAGATCTATCAACGGAATACTACGAGAGATTATTGCAGCAAGTAGCACTATTTAAGAGAATCCCGAGCTTTGAAAATTCAACAAGGTGGATCAGCAGGCTCTCAAAATTGATCTCATCCCATGATTTCCATCCATTTTTCTTACCGACAGCATCGACAGAAAACATCGAGGATGCATCTGCAGGAGCAATTTTACAAAACAAAATCCGCCGACCCTGTGCATTTGGTCTAACCTAAAACGGAAGCATATTCCGCCAAGGAACAGAGACGAAGAATAGCATGAGCTTATTCGCCACTGTCGGCTCGTGGGCTATTTGAGTCGGTCATGGCTCCAAAGGAGACATCATTCTTTTCAGAGAACCCCGCCTCTTGAAGTGCGGAATACTGAGTAATATAATAGGCGTCTTTGTCTATAAGTAGGTTTGCGTTGTCTGTTCAGATCCTCTTTCCGTCTCACACATCGGACACAATATCCTACTCATCACAAGACTAGCATTACTCGCCAGCCAATACTTTCTATCCACCACCCTGGTTACTATTTATCACAATGTCTTCATCCGCCCAAGCAAAATCTCTCCGCCAACTTCTTGGTGCTCCCCCTTCAACCGCTTCAACCCGAGACTCAACCCTGATCATCATTGATGCCCAGAATGAATATGCTTGTGGCCACCTCCAGATCGAGGGCGTCTCCGAAAGCCGCAAAGTAATTTCGGACCTTCTGACTAAGTATCGCACCAACGGTACTCACAAAGGCAGCAACATCGTCCATATTGTTCACCAGACCCCACCAGGCGCTCCCGTCTTCACTCCGGGCACGCACCTAGAAACTGGGTTCTACGAACTCACTCCTGTCTCTGGGGAGAAGGTTATCAGCAAGAACTTCCCTAGTTCTTTCGCCCAGACGGAATTGCACGAGTACTTGAGCAGTCTCGGAATTGTTGGGAAGAAGATCGTGCTGGTCGGCTATATGGCGCACGTATGTGTCTCTACGACTGCCAGGGCTGGCAATGAACTTGGTTATGAGGTTGTAGTTGTGCGTGATGCGGTGGGCGATCGGAATATTCCTGGAGTGGAGGCTGCAACTTTGAAGGATGTGGCGTTGAGTGAGCTGGAGGATGCTTTCGCGACGGTTGTCTCTGCTCGTGATATTACTGCCTAGAGCATTATGCTAGTTGCGTAAACTACATTCGACTATGTGCTCTGTCTCGTCCTGAAACTTCTCTTTTCTACATACATATCATGATTGTAATGTAGATACTGCTTGAATACGAAGGAAGACGTGGACGCAGAGATTGTTATTAATACATGTGAAGTAGAGAGGGGTATTGAACTGATAATATTCGGAGTGGTAAATGGATGAACAATAATATGGAGACCAGACTGAAGCAAATGAAAGCCAACAAACAGTCATGCATTTTACTTAGATCCCATTTCTTATGAATGACTGCCAATGTTGTTATTTGGGTGTAATATGCGCAAAGCATGCAGTGAGGCTCAAGCAGAATTCAAACCAGGGACAGCTTGGCGGAAGTAGTTGGCTTTATATGATGAAAACGTTTTATTATCTCAGATGTGTGTGATTGAAGATCGAGGAGCAGGTGTTGATTGAGTAAAAGTACGACTGGGTGTAAGGAATTTAATCTACTACAGATGTCTTCCCACCTTAGTATTGGTCGATCTCTGCTGGTCTTATGATTCATTGTCATAGCGTTTTGCCAAGTACTTACTTGTCATCGCATCTGTCGATTTGATTCTCACCAGTGCTCACGCGGGAGAGACAAATGCGTAAGCACTAGCACGCTACTATCGACGCTGACAATAAGCACTAAACATGTACACAAGGCTGTCATCCCATAACTAACAGGATAAATAGGCCAGTCTCTTCCCTCACATTTGTCTCGCTGCGACCACCGAGAAGTATCACCCCACAGCTTCGTCCGCATCTCCCTGTAGCCGTGAATATATTATATGTATCCCACCATCCCCAACGGATCCCAACGAAAAGCCAACATATATATATATATATCACAAAGTCACATCCACTCCAGCAATGCCCACCAATCGCTATTTCGCCCAAGCCCCCCCCTTCCCCGCTGACACGCCGACCATCGATCTTCCCGTTCTCTCATTTTCGGACCTACGATCCGGCAACCCAACCGAAGGAGAGAAGTTATTTGCCGCCAGCCGCGAATGGGGATTTTTCCTAATCGACTTACACGACTCCGCAGAAGGCAGGACCCTCCTCCATGATGCAGAAGCCATGTTCGATCTTGACATCGAGCTCTTTTCCCTCGACCAGACAACACTCGACCAATACGCTTACAACGCGCCCAAAGACCTTACAGGCTATAAGCGCATGGGAGCGCTCAAAACCGACGACGGCAAGCTCGACCACATGCACCTCTACAACATTAACCAGGACGATATCCTGGGTAATCGTCCTCCCCGCACCAACGCACCCCCGATCGAGGCACAGCGCCCCCAGATCCAGAATTTCATCCGCCACGCTTCATCAGCTTTAGACGTTATTCTTAAAACGCTGGATGACCATCTCGGTCTGGAACGCGGTACACTGAGCAAACTCAGTCCACTAGATCAGGAGTCCGAGACCTCTGTCCGCTTACTATGCAGTCCTCCCCACGCATCCGGTGAAGCGAATCGAGATCGCATCTCGTTAGGCGGACACACAGATATTGGGACAACGACGCTGCTATTCCACATTATTGGAGGCCTGCAGATCCTCCCTGCGGGGCTCGAGAATAAGATGGAGAATTGGCGTTTTGTCCGACCCGTGCCGGGCTGTGCGCTGGTCAATATTGGTGATGCTCTGGTAGAGTGGACCGGTCAGCTGCTACGGAGTTCCTTGCATAGGGTTCTAGCTGCACCCGGAGAACAGGCATTCGTGCCGAGACGGAGTGTGGCGTATTTGGTCAGGCCGGCGAAGTCAGCATCCATGCGGAGAATCCGTGGTGGGAAGATACCGGTGCTGACTGAGGGAGAAGAGGAGGAGACGAGGTCGGTGGACGAGTGGGCAGCTTGGAGGTCGAAACAGGTTATGTTGGGGCTGTTGAAGCCGCAGACGAGGGGAGGGGTAGTTCCTGTGTAGGGGTCCGTATACAGGTTTCGCCGGGTAGACAGCACAGCACAGCATACCCCCTCTCCCCAGAACCCTTCGAATGCACAAGTGAGACCTGGTGGCCACCAACCCGAATACTGACCTCCCAGCGTGTGGCTTGTGTGCGGTCAATAGGCGGGTGGGTGCCTCTAAACCGGCGACCCTAGCGCTGCAATTGTTTGGTATGAGTTATTTCATATCTCTTATGCGCCATTTTGCTGGACCAGATGGAATCTCTGCCGGGGACCGTTTATGCTGTTAGCACAAAGTTAGTACAATAGTTACAATCAATGTCACGTTCAACAGGATGACCCTGAAGGGGCTTTAATGCGGTGACCCTGATGGTTGTCAGTCATCCTAACCCACAGAGCTACTCTGAGGATATCAAAACCGAATGCACTCCATCCTCCCCTACAAGTTCCGAAATCGTACGGCTCGGTGGACACATGTCTTGGGTTGCCGTAGAAGACATCAGCAGTAACTGTGGTCTGAAGTTAATTATTGTGTATTGAACTCCCGCACGGAAAATAAGCATTCAACACTCACTATGCTTCGAAACCTCTTCGGAAATGAGCGGGGGTGTCGGGTCTCCCAGAGTAGCGTTGCTACCACCGCCGGCCATGGCATCACCGACAATCATGGCACCCTGCGAGTACGAAAGTAGCACGACTTGACTACCAGGGCAGGCTTCCGCATAGGCTGTGACCTGACGGCCAACAGCCGCCCGTCCAAGAAAGTAGCCGTCCGAGGTATCTTCGCTGACCGCGGGGTAGATAATGCTTTCGTAGTTGCTGCTCAGGTTAATCTTCTCGGCCACAACCTCAGCCAGGGTATACGGTGTCCCAGGGTACAACTCAGTCGTTCCGCGTGCAAACATGAAATGCACATCCACGCAAGCCGTGCTATTTAGCAAGGTAGCATTGGCCGCGGAGAGAAAAACACCAAGTGCGGCAACATCGCTGCTCGAGATATGCAATTTGAATTAACGTGGACAGGGAAAGAAAGAAAAGAAAGTGCACAAAAGGGAAGAGCATATAAGTCAACCGAGATATTGATTTTAGGCAGATGGCTAATCTTCCGCTTTTGACTTCTCATGTGACCATAGAGAACTGACAAAGTACCGGCTCAGTAATTCTATTTCATCAATCATCTCCTGTTCAACGCTGTTGTTGCACCATTACACAATGTTGCACAATTAGCAAGGGCTCGATACAATCAATACCTGATAATATTCATCTCTTCAACACCTCGCAGAGACAACTCTTTACTCTGAAGAACCGTCATATTAGCTTGAATACTCAAACTCAAAGATCGCGCCAAAGAAGACCGGTCTTAACTAGTGCTTACTCAACCCATATTGTATCTTTGAGCGAGCCTCGCTATATCGACAATCCTAAGAGCTCGGGTGATCTAAATGCTAGTATTCAGGAGTTCATTATTTAACAATTTTCAGATGTGATTCCTGTGCTAACTCACACAGGTTTCTCCATTCTTAAATTGTCTCAGATCTGACAATTGTAACTAAAAAGCAGGAGTATAAAATATACAGATTAATTATTTACAGACAGTCTGGGTATTTCTCGCACCTTTTTAAAGGCGAGTGGAGTATAAGTAAAAATATATTAGACTAAAGATAGTCAACACTGACTTATGGTATCAATAGAAGACAAGACAGTCTATAATGAAACTCATCAAAGATAATCCCACAGCTATCAAGACAATGATCTACTTCATGTATAGTTTCAACTATAACAATAATAACAGCGAGCGTAATCAAGCATCTCCAATACTTTCCAACATCAAGATCTATCAGATCAGAAACAAATACAATATATTAAAGCTGAAGAAACAAGCCAAAAAGAAATTCATAAAAATCATCAAAAAAAGGTGGGAAATAGATAACTTTGTTATTACTATCACAAACATATATATGACTACAGTATCAACAAATCAAGGTCTACGCGACCCTCATTCAGTCTTAAGTTACATTGATAATTTACTGAGGAATAAAGATATCAAGCAAGTCTTACAAGAGGTTATCTATCTTACTGCTAATCTTAGTCAGGGTCAAAAGAACCAGACAGAACTTAAGACCTACCATTACCCCTCTTGTTCTAAAGGATAGACTATAGAAAGAATTTAAAGCATTTAAAAAATAAAATCTAGTTCAATCTCAATCCTTAAGCAGATTCATGTCTCACAGTAATACGCACATGGGCGCACATTGGGGCAGTATTCTGCTAATTATACATATCATTCCTCCTCCACCCGCTATCTCTTCTTCTCGGCCAAAATTCTCTGTTCTTCCGCCTCCAGGTATGGCGCTTTGTAGTCCGGTGAGCTATTATTAGCCGTTCAAATCATGAGAGCTTTCATGAGTTGTCTAATAGCACGATCGGATAGCTGTTGGCTGACGTCGCCAGGGAGACAATCTAATGAAATCCACTGACAGTTGGAGCCGGAGGAAGAGATTTTCCGTCAGAGAGTCCTTCTAGGTCCCGACCCCGTCAATCCCAGCTATGCCCAAAGGCTCGGTGTCCGCATTCACATCCAGCAACGATGAGTATATTTTCATGAAGACACGAAGCTGAATGCCATAACGCACATACGTCCGAGCTTTGTTAATATCTCCAAAAGAACTATCAATGGCGAATTCCAGTTTTGAAGGTGTGGATTTCACTTTATTATCTAGAACGTTTACAATTACTATCAAGCGTACATTAGCACACAAATTTTTATATGAAAGCTCGACGGAAATTTCAAGGTCTCTGATTTCATATAGTACCGTAGCAATATATACCTAAAGTTTTGAAACAAATACCTGAGCGATACCAGTAACCACAGGAGAGATTTCTCTTTTGGTCTACTTGGTAAATGTCTCGACATAAAGCAGTCAGACTCGTGGGTGTGCAGAGCTTTCTTATATTACTCACCGCGTTGAGATGATATCGATACATCAAGCTGACTGATATGCCGGAGATTAACGCACAATAAACAGTCAGTTATACCTTTGAGCCAACATGTGCATTACGTGGTCTTCTGATTGAGAGCCACTTTGCTTCAAGCCAGCTCTCGATCTGCGAATCATTGATTAGCATCTACGTTCGGCTCTTCAGTTGTTCAACCTCTTACAGGCACAAACTTGAAAAGAGCCCACATAATGACAGTAAAAAGTAGCGATGCCCCTCCCAGTACCAGATACCATCGCCAGTCTGGGTTATCGTCTAATAAATTCACATTCATACCGAAAAGACTCTGAGTCAAAGGGTAAGCTAATGTGATTCGTGCGGTTGGGTTAAAATTCCATTTATCGGCAGAGTAGAAGAACTTACTGAGACAAACATCAATGGCAGAAAAATAAACTGTGGGAGGAATAGTCAGAACAGTACGTGAGGGACTCTTGAATACTGACTGTGATCCAGCTAAGTCGTTTGATACTCGCTGCATCGCTGATTGAGATCCAGGCAAATTCCTTTGGAAAAGTTAGAGGCAGTCAAACAGGTTGAAAATATGCGCACAATCTGTAAAAGCTCTCGAACCGCTCGTTCAATCTCAAGCACCTTGGCATTGACCGACTTGTCAAAATTATTGACCTGTGCCTGTAATTGTTTTTTTTGTTCAGAAAAAATAGTGGTGTCTTCGTCGATTGCTTGACGGAGACCCTCAACATGTTGGCGCAAAGCTCTTTGCAGCTCGGCACGTTTCACTCCATTCTGAGCAAGTATCTGCATTATCTTTTGACCTCGGCCCTGTCTCAAAAGTTGGTCACGCCGCTGGCAAAATCAGTAATAGAGTACAAAGGTGAGACAAAAAGATAAAATAGAAATGATTGTACTTACAGTCGTCTCGATATTTTCCATCGCACCAGTGCATACACCATTCCATTCCTGACCTAGGTGGTCTATTAAAGTGCTACAGAGATCCGCTGGTGTTTGAGGGATCCGACTGTCCGACAATGTACTCCTAAAAGTACAAATGTCCCCTTTCGCACTCGACTCCTTATTCCACTCAATACCTGAAAAAGTTGCATGGTGCGAGTCTGATTCGATGTCGGTTTTGTCGGCAGGAAAGCAGACCGAGATGTGAGATTCTGAAGGCTCAACTGACAAAGACTTTGGATTTGAATGACCTCGACAGAAGTAATCGTACCTGACCATTTGGGAAGCAAGCCTAGGCCCTTTTCGCGACCATGTAGGGTCCCCTCTCCGGAATAGACTTGAAACGTCAGTGAGAACATCAAGCAGTGGGAGCTTCTTACCAAAGATTGGTTTTGATTTTTTGCAATCGATCGACGCCATTCGCTCCCACATTCGGGTGCAGACACAAAGATATGGAACCACTATCTTGCCGTGTGAATTCGATCCATCGTATGGCCTCGTTACTGAGATAAAACCAAGCTTCGGCAGAGATATTGCTTGTATCGGCTCCTTTCTTGAGCAACATCCGAACAAATGCTTCATTCTTTTCTCTTAAAGCGTAATAGAGAGGTGTTTTTCCGGCATTGTCTTGTAAATTCAAAGAAAATCCCACATCCTTCGCATCCAATAGGGCTTTAGCAAATCTTGTATCCTGCACATTGCTCAGCAAATGAAGTGTACATCTGCCTTCTGAATCGAGCTTGTTAACCTCATATGCTCTTTCAAGAAGTTCACAAACCAGCTTCAAAGCTTCTTGATCACCTAGAAGCTCTCTTTCTTTGATGAGCAGGTGTAACGAAGAAGAGTCCTTTTCTTTCAGCATGTTCACCACAGCAAGATGACCATTAATCAATGCCCATATTAGTGGTGTTTTAGAAAAGATTGAGCCAGCGTCTATTTGTTTTGCTTCAGTAGAGTGTATTTGGGCATTTATTGGTGGTCCATCCCGAATATCAGGATTGGCACCGTGTTTGAGAAGCGCCTGAACCATCGCATAGTCACCATACTCCGCTGACCATGACAACAAGGTCCTATTGTTCTCTTGAAGGTCTAGATCTGAGTGGTAGGGAATGATTTCGAGCATCTGGAAAGGATTGAGTCGTCGACTAGGCATAAAACTTTCTGGTTTGTTCTCCATCTCGAATCTGGCCTTGACAAGCCACCAGAAACATGTATGACCATTGACTATTCGCATTGCATTCGCACCCGCTTTCATTAAAATATGCATCAAAACGCTGTTATTAGACTTTGCGGCAAGAAAGAGCGGTGAGTCATCATTCACGTCCTGATGTTCAAGATCAATTGTCTCGTTGCGAAGTAGTTCGACCACTGTGCTGTCCTCTGATTGCCTGATTGCCCACGCCAGCGGGGTCTGCCCTTCCCGATCTTTGGAGTTGATATCGGCTTGCTGTTGTATCAGATATTGCACGATCTGGTGCCGGCCAAACTCCGCTGCTAATGATAGAGGTGTTCGTTCGCTTATATCCTTGGTGTCTATATTTACGTATCTCTTGGCCAACAAACTTTTCACTATTGCATCAGACCCCTGCCTGGCTGCCCATGCTAGAGGTGTATAACCATGCACGTCTGCACAATTGACTTCAGCGTTTCGTTGGAGTAGCTCATCAACCACGGCGATCTGTTCATGTTTCGTAGCAAGTAGCAGTGCCGTGCAGCAGTCGTGTTTTTGATACTTGTATTCCAAGTCAGCGCCAAAGGAAATTAGTAAGCCCACTATTGCTTTTTGGCCTGTGATAACTGCCCATCCTAGAGGAGTATAGCCGTCCTCATCCTCGGCATTTACGTCAGCCTCGGATCTCAAAAGCAGCTCTGTGATCTGAGTGAGTCTGAGCTTCACTGCCAGCGTCAATGGTGAAACGCCACTCCGAATTCGATGATTTATACCCGCTTTAGGCACGGCCAAAATATTTCGAACTGTGTTAGTTTGCTGTGTGCGAATCGCTCGTGTCAAAGTGACCTCCATATAATTATCCCCAATACTTGGATTGGCTCCAACACGGAGAAGAAGATCCACGATTTGTTGATATTGAAATCCTGCGGCTAAGGAAAGTGGCGTACGACCTTGCGTATCTTGGTGGTCAACATTTCCTGGGTTGGAAGATAATAAGTCTGCAACGATAACGTCGGATCCCTTGGAGACTGCCCACATCAGTGGGATCCATCCTTGAAGGTCCTCTTTATTGGCATCTGCTCCATGCTTTAGGAGCAGTTTCAATATCTTAGAGAAATTGTTGTTTGTGGCGGTCGGCGTTGCCGCCCACGATAACGGAGTGCGACCCTCTTGATCCTGCAGATTTGGATGCGCTTTGTTGAGCAGCAAGACTTCGACATATCTGACCTCATGCAGCTCGCAGGCGTAAGAAAGAGCAGTCCGTCCTTTGTTATCACGTATGTCCATGTCGAGCCCTTCAATCTCGATCAGCATTTTCAGAATGTCGATATGCGAGGGATGTCGTGCTACAAGTGTCAAGGGTGTATCTTCGGATTTGAGAAAGTTCAGGTTAATGTTTCCATTTCCTAGAAAGGTCCAAGATATGCGTTTTTTTTTCGAGTGTTTTCGTCTTAGTCTCTTTTTGAGGACTTCTAGAAGTCTGTCTTGATCTTGAGAAGTGTGGTTTGATGTATCGTGCGTTCGGTCTCCTTCTGCCATGATTAGAATTCTGAAGCTTTGAAACCGATGACGGTTGAAAAGAGAAGCATTCTAAGGGGAGACACGTCATTTAAGATAATTAGTGGGGCTAGAAAGGATTAAATTATACAAGGCTGAGAGGGGCTATGTGCATAGCGGCTGTGATTAGAGTAAAAAATTCTAATGTACACTTCATGCAGCACGATTTTTTGCAATTCACCTGATATAGGATATGAATCAAATGTTCAAGTTTCAGAGTGATACTTGTGATATCTGGATTGAATTCTGGAACCGACATATTGCCGATCTCGATTTTGTCAAATGTTGCGTAAACAGCTGGTCAGGATGTAGAAAGATAGGAAGAGGGGACATCTTTTCTGACTCAGCAAGGCTAAAACCACTATTTGTATGAAGGATTGATACTATTCTCCTGATAAGCAAACATCCAAATATTATTGAATTCATTGTGTCCTCAAAACATATACTTAAATCATGTCTGGGTAAATGGCTTGGCTCCAATCTCTGATTCAAAACGTTTGGCCATCGATACATTATCTTGTTGAATCCAAATCTCTATAAAGGATCGAGGTAGGGCCATTTTTGCGTTTAAAAAAGTTATGGGGCTTCTGTTCTTTATTGCCGGGACGGGGAAATAGGATTGATTACATGGCAGCTAGACCTAAAGTAGATAATCTCGAGTCAGTTTCGTGGCTTAGCAATTCCAGCACACTATCACAAACCAACCATCATTGCTACACAGAAATGAAGTGGATAACAAAGTTTCAACGGGTGAGATTGCTGAACGTTGCGCGACTGGGGTGATTGCTCACCCATCCTTAAAAGATACTCACCCTAAGTCACCCCCGGTCTCGTGACCGTAAAGCGGCCTCACCCGCTAGCTCACCCGAGCGGCACCCACCCGCCTTCTGGCCGCGTTCAAGCCACACGCCGGGAGGTTAGTAGTTGGGTGGGTGACCATCAGCGAATCCCTTCTGTTGTATGTTTTTAGTCCTTTCTTTCTTTTTACATGGGCATGACCATTTTTTTGCGTGGTAGGGCTACTTGGGGCGAACGTGGTGAATATAATGCAAATAGTTCGCATCGGATGGCTACACTTGATGATGTCTGGCTATCTTAACTCTACCCGTCTGCCTCGTGTATTCCGTCGGCCAGCGATTTTAAGGACCTACCGTAGAGAACAAGACGGGACAACATTGGTGTAGTAGGGTCCATGGACGTCCGTCGAAGGATTACGGGAATGTAGCTAGAGGGATTGGTGCCTATGTTGACATAGAGTTTCAAAACAAAGACCCTTCCTAAGAGCGCCCGAAGTAGGACGTGGAAAGGGACTCGCAAGTTGAACAAGCCTGAAGTTTCTTTAACGTTGGACACATTATTCGTAGAGGTGCTGCTAATGCTGCCAAAGTTGGTGGTGAATTATATGTGGAGATTGATGCTTGATAGTAGCACTGCTAATAATAACACTCCATATACGTCTCTACGAAGTCAGGGCATCCTTACAGCCTTCGTCATTTTACCTTTTTTTCTATCCATAAGAGTACGGACACGTACCAAGGATGAAGCCAATAATAGCACACACACATTGTCGACAAAGGTCTGAGAAGTACAGTCATTGATTCAACGTAATGCAATGCCCGTGGGACATGAATAGCACCATCAATGCGTCTAAGAAGATATCATTACCGCTATATCTTCTATAGGGCTATTGTTATTGATCTGGGGGAGCATGAATCTTGACTGTTTTTCCTCTCTACTGTGGTGGACTATTACTGTAGCGGAGCGGATGTATCCCTTCCTCCAAGCCCAACTACTTAAGGGAATATAGTCAACGAGTGGAAACTAAACCTCGTCATATAGGCAGACCTGAAAGCTCTCTCTTCTTATATATTGGTAATGTAAACTTCTCCACGAATGGACAGCTAGGTACCAGACGTTGAGCTGGCTGGATAAAGGCACTATTTAGAAATGACATTCAATCTATCAGACTAGGGGCTATTGCCGTACATACTACGTAACCTATCATTTTCTCAATGCTCATCCCAGAAGGCTATGCTCAATGACATCTACTAACCCATGCGTATTCATATGCAGCCTCTGAATAGTCCTCCCATTTCTCACCACTTGGACATGGATCATCAGACACCTTCCGTGCAGTAAAAGTAATCCCAGAGCCAACACAAGGAAACACAGCCTCTGCAGTGAAGGCGGCGATTTTTCATCCCTAAACTTGATAGTGCCGTACTCTGGTTTGAAAAAGATCTGACCTTCGCCAGTTTCACGGCATCTGAGCTTTAACCGGTACGTGTAGGGTTCGCTCGTCTTCTCTGCCTTCGCTTTCTTCGGCGGCCTGCTATGTTTATGGGCAATTGTCTTTCTCTTAGTTCCTTTTCCAATGTTTTCATGATCGTCGCCAATCTCCTCTTCGTCGGTCTCAGTCATATGCTCCTCAGATATGACCATAACGCCTATCACTACACGAAAATTGAATCTAGCATGAATCTTCCCCTTTCGTTGTGTGTTCATCATTTCAAGTACTATGTCCTCCGCTAGACTTGACCATCCATCCCCGATCTCCTTACAGTCAACGATATAGCTTCCGACCGGCGATTTCCTTGCCGCAGCGCCCTTCATCCGTCCGAGAGCCGCAAGGTAGTCGGCATGCATTTTCGTGCGTTTGCTTTCTCTCCTCTGTTCCCGAGCCTCAATCTCAGTCCTTTCCTTATTCGCATGTTCCTTTGCTGCTTCCCCAACAGCAGACTTATCCCATCCCAAGAATACTGTCTGCGTCTCCGGAACCACACCAGTGTCGTGATGTAAGCTCGCCACCTGATCAGCAGCCTCTCGCATGCGCCCTGGACGACACACGCTATATCGAGGAAAGGAAACCCCGACGACAGTGCTTGTCCTCGTCTGGTATGGATCTGGTTCCCTAGCTCTTATGAAGAACTTCTTTATCACCCACTCGGGTTTGGAAGACAGCACCTCTATATTACTTGCAGCAATCCATTCCTGATATAGCTGCTCCTCCAGGGCCAGGATGTGTACAGGCACTTTGTCGCACTTTCCTTCTTGGAGGACTTTTTTCATCAGCTGCGTTCCGTTGCGTGATAGCTGACTCTCCTCGAAAGGCACTCCATAGTGTTGTAGTTGGCTGCGGACAAAATCAGTGCGGTCTCGTAGAATCTTTTGGCCTTCGCGGCTGAGCTTGGGTAGAAATATCCTTCGCAGAGAGGAACCATCTACTCGTTCATTGTCCCCGCGTGTAGTGCGGAACCGGGCGAATGAAGAGGTGAAACCATCGCGGGTGATGGCGTTATCATAGGACATGGCGGGCTGTGTGAGCTAATTTAGCGGGGGTTTGCGGGTCTGGAGGTGTTTTAAATTGAATTATCAGATATGGACTGCCTGAAAGGTGTGGAATTTCAACAAAAGAGAGAGAAAGCGGACGGAGGTTGCTTCCGCGACATACAGCGTAGCCCACGGGAATGATGCGTTCTGAAGTAATGCGATCATCAGCTAACATTTCTGTCGGTTCAATTATGTCACGTAGAGAATATCAGCGCAGGCAGGTCTCCAGTCGCGAATCAATGGCTCGACGCAAGTAGCACGTACAGACATCAAGTTCAGTTAAGCTACGTACTCATCCCTGCACCCCGGATACTGCCTTGATGAGGACGAATGACTGGGACAATGATATAACCGTCAGGCTTTATTACGCTAGTATTTGAATATATATAACTATTCACTGGAATCAAATCAATATATTGAGAGGTTGTATACAGTCCGGATTTATCAGCTGGTATCGAGTGCTATCTGGCCAAAGGTGGATGTCGAGGTCACATTCTTTCCGGTCGGTAGGTGAAAATTTGGGCCAGCTGACGAGATGCTCGATGTGATATGTCTTCAGAGTGCTGGGGCACCGTCAAGCATTCGAAATAGAATCCGCGCCGTAAGTCAATGAGGCACGCCTCAGCTACACACTGACAACTTTGGTTCTGTTTGTCTATCCGATGATCGAACCCCTTCTGGCCCTTGCGTTTTAACAATATCGCAATGTGTCGCATGACTCAGGATAACCCTGCTTTGTTCATTCTATGACAAGTTTCATTGTCGTTTCAAAGGATTGGAAAAAAGAGGCAGAGTCATTCCTAGAGGGGTAATTGCTACTTAGCGACTGCTAGAATTCTATTCTAGGTCTCGCGGCTTGTGTGAAATGAACAGGTGATGAACGCTAATAACAAACATACCAAATTAATCAAAAAAAAAAAACCGCCAGATCTCTGGACTTGCAGCAGGGGCCAATCCCAAAGGTCATCATTGCAACGAAAGTCGCCTCCCGCGACGGAGCAAGGCTATAGGCACTCTATAACGTGTGAAGTGACAGCCAGACCTTACGGGGCCTCGGCAACCGGGGTACCCATGCGTCCCTCCTCAGCCAGTTTCTCCTTGTTCATGGTGTCAGGGCGGGCATCGTTGGGCTCAGAGGAGCGTTTCTCTACAATGGTGGTCTCGTCCGAATTCCTCGTGTGAGCAGCCTCATCTAAAAGGTGTCAGCATGTATTCGTCACGAGAGTGACACATCACGTTGAAAAAACACGACTTACCGGGTTGAGGCTCCTTGGGCGGGGGGCAGTAAAAGCCGACAGCGAGGCAGATAATCATAAGGAAAATTTCTTCGAGGACGCCCATGCATAGATTGACCGTGGGGTTGGGCTCGAACAGGTTGAACTTCTCGATATTCGTGTAATCACCCAAGCAGCCGTAGATAGTGCGCACAATAAGCAGGGGCGCACAGGCGTATACTGAGTACAGGATGATCCTCTCGTTGCGCGGCATCTCGTTGCGGTAGATGGTCAGGTACCCCAGAATAGCCAGTAGGAGACCCAAGCAACCGACGAACATGCCCAGTGCGGCTTGGAGCATAGCGGGAATGGTGTAGGTGTCGAGGGCCTTGATAGCACCGGCAATACCAAGGGCCAGTCCGACCAAGCTGACGATGCTGACAAACATGAAGATCCATTTGGAGAGCTTGTTGATCGAGGTGTTGCTGAGAAAGATATGCCTACGTCAGTCTCAAGTCACGCATAAGTGGATATCAGGTTGCGACTTACACTCTTTGCAGCAAACCCACAGCAGCCAGGGTTAGCGGAGCGATTCCCAACAAGTCGCATGTGATTTTTGTGGTGATCACATCGATCGAATCGTCAGTGATGCTGATGAGCTGGCATACAGCGCCGGCGATTCGTAAACAGGCGAGGATAATGAGGAATCGCCAACATGATGCCACGGCCTTCATTCCTTGCTGATAACACAAAAGAAGGGCGAGGAAGAGGCAGGGCACGAAGGCGATGAGCTGCAACACTGCGATACCATCTTCATAGCGAAACGTCATCTTCGATGGAGAGTGGTCGGAGAGGCGATTACGGCGGGCAGGTAGCTATGTGGCTGATGGGGCAATCGCAATCTGGATTATAAGGTTGGGGCAGATATTGAAGGCCCTGGAAAACTGGTATGATCTGATGAAACGAGTCGGAAGGATAGGATATAACGATGCGAAGATAGTAAATAAATGAATCCAACGTCCCGGGGTAAAATAAGAGAGCGGTCTCCCGTGGTGGCGCAGGTGTATGATGAAATGATTGCAATGTGTTCGGGCTGTGCACTCGAATATAGATGATGGGTGAGGCATTCTATGACAATTTGAGGGTTTCGGGCATCTCCATGTGGAACAACTTAACATCGAGCATACCGTATTAGGAATAGGTTCAAGATTCCAGGCGGCCGTGGATAGCTGCCGGCTAGTCTATTTCCTATCGGGTTTAGTCCCCTGAGATCTCCTTTGGTGGGTCATCTTGTGCCGCTAACCCTTTTCCGTCACGCTTTCCTTCCTTTTACCGGAACTTCGAGCTGTCCATTCTGGGTAACATTTCCCCATCCCCCCCATAACTCTTGTCCGTTAATCCTCCATTTTCATACGTCCAAAGCACTCTCTTACCTCGCACTCGATGCTAAATTGAGTATACGGACTGCGTCGCTCGCAAAGCCACACGATCTACGTAGCTAGCCCACCCTTAAGGCTTGTTCGTCATGGCTGAACCATTGTCCCTAAAAAGTTGCGGTCACCTGATCTCACGAGCTGCCCACTAGCCCTCATTATTGAGATTAAGCCCACTAGAAACACGTGCAATTACCGTCTCCTTCCTTTGAACAAACAAGCCTAATATCTTACTGGGGGCCACTTCTAGAAACCTACGTTATCCACCCTACTTTGTCGTTTTCCAGCGGGACTAGCACTCTTCATGATCGTTACTACATCCAGACAATGTCAATCCGGAGGATCATGAACTAGAATTGGGTATCTTCGTGTAGCGATCCTCCAGGAACACTGCTGACACAATGATGGCATTTCCTCTATATATAAAGGACAACAAGGCAGGACGCCTGCTTTTTGGGGATGAACATGTTTTGAATATCCATCATCTCGGCGTTTCCTCACTTTGGCCTTCTCATTCTTTACACGTCTAGCCGGCTTTTTGTCTTATTTCACTCCTTTCTTCACCCAAAAAACATAAGAGATCAATTCATCATAATGACCGAGACAGAGCAGCGTCAGCTTGCATATTGGAAGGAGCAGCTTGAGGGAAGCCAGCCCGCGGAGCTCCTCTGCGACAAGCCCCGGTCGGCCATCTCCTCTGCCAAGGCGCAGGTCCACCACTTCACCCTCAATGACCAGCTTTACCGGGAGCTCCAGACCTTTTGCCAGACACACCAGTTCACCCCCTTTGCGGTGCTCCTCGCCGCTTTCAGGGCGACACACTACCGCCTCACCGGAGTCGACGATGCCACCATTGGCACCCCCATCCTCAGCAACACTAACATCCTATGCATTCGCACTACCGTTGAGCCAGAGGACTCCTTTTATGCGCTCGTCCAACAGGCCCAGCAGACCACCAGCATGGCATTCAGCCACCAGGATGTTGCCTTCCAGAAGATCGTCTCGGAGCTGCGTCCTGGCGCCGCCGACCGGTCTCGTAACCCGCTCGTTCAGACGATATTTGCAGTTCACTCGTCAGAAGATGCCAACAGCCCACAGCTCGACAGTATGAAGGCAGCCACGTCCAAGTATGACATTGAACTCCATCTCGTCCAAAAGGCTCAGCGTATGAGCGGTCACATCATCTTCTCGGATGATCTGTTTGAAGCTTCGTCCATCCGCCTCGTCGAGTCCGTCTTCACTGAGGTCCTCGGCCGTGGCGCCAAGACACCCGAGGCCCTCGTCTCAACAATGCCTCTTACCCAGGGCCTCTCCGCACTAGCCGATATGGGCCTCACAGATGTTGCGCGCACCAATTACCCGCGCGACTCCAGCGTCGTCGAACTCTTCCGAAGACAGGTCTCTCTCAGCTCTAACGCCGTTGCCGTCAAGAATGCATACTCATCTTCTCAGCTCACGTACGCGGAACTGGACCGACAATCAGACCGGCTCGCCCACTGGCTGGTCCAGCGTGGGCTCGCCCCAGAGACTATGGTCGCAGTGCTGGCACCGCGGTCGTGCGAGACAATTGTGGCTTTGTTGGCCATTCTTAAGGCTAATCTGGCCTACTTGCCTCTCGATGTCAACGTTCCCGTTGGCCGCCTCGAGAGCATCCTATCTGCGGTCGAAGGAGACAAGCTCGTCCTTCTCGGTGCCGGCGTCGCGCCTCCCGCTCTGCAGCTCAAGGACGTGAGCTTCCGCCACATTGCCCAGGCCCTAGACGAGCAAGGCCAGCACTTTGCTGGCGCTCTGCCGACTCCCACGGCTTCTAGCCTCGCATACGTCATGTTCACGTCCGGGTCAACGGGCAAGCCCAAGGGTGTCCAAGTGGAGCACCGCGGCATCGTGCGCCTGGTGCGCGAGACCAATGTGGCCTCCAAGACGCAGTCAAGTGGCAACATTGCGCACGTTGCCAACCTGGCCTTTGACGCCGCGACGTGGGAGATCTACGCCGCGCTGCTCAATGGCGGTACGATTGTCTGCATCGACTACATGACGGTCATCGACCCGGTGACCCTGGGACAGGTGCTGCAGCGGGAGGCAGTGCGGTCCTGCATGCTCACGCCTGCCCTCCTCAAGCAGTGCCTCGCCAATGCCCCATATGCTCTTTCCGGTCTGGAACTACTCTTCGCTGCCGGAGACCGTCTCGATCCTCGCGATGCTGCCCAAGCCAAGAGCATTATCAAGGGTGACCTCGTCAACGCTTACGGTCCCACCGAGAACACCACCTTCAGCACCATCTACAAAGTCCCGGCCAACGAGAAGTGTGTCAATGGCATGCCCATCGGCGTGG